ATTTTTCCAAATTGGGACCTGTTCAGGATTTACGCTCTAAAGGGCTCCTTTTCTATTCCACCATGGCCTAGCCACAATACACTTTAGATAATGGCTCTAATGGCCTCTTGAGGGATTTTGATTTTAAAATCCTCACTGATTTGGACATTTGCTGCTAATGGATGGAAAAGTGGTTAGAGGTTCCTTATCTTCAGGCCTTTAGGGATTTACGCTCTCGCCCCTCTTTCTGCTGCACCTGTTCTGCTTTCCAAGTCCTTCTTGCTAAAGAAACTCCTCCTTCCAAGTCCACATCTCCTCCTGACCCTGACCCCTCTCCGCTTACTGAACCTCACCACCCAAGACACTCTCCTCACCACCCCCAGACCCTCCTATCCTCATCCTACTCCTTATCCAGAAGGGGCTCCACCTGAGTTAGACGCCCCCCCTCCCCTGTCTCTTCCCCAGTAAGTGCCCATACCAGGTCTCACCAATTGACATAAGACCCTGAACTTTTCTGTCCTCTCCGCGAGACGGCAGGATCTGAGGGCATCGTTCAAGTTCATGTCCCTTTTTCTCTATAAGACCTCTCCCAAATTGAAAAACGCTTAGGCTCCTTTTCTGCTGACCCCACTACCTATATCAAAAAATTAAAATGCCTTTCCCAAGCCTATGACCTTCCTTAGCATAATGTCCATGTCATCCTTACATCCCCCATCCCCCCCACCCAGCCCCATGAACACACTCAAGTCCAGGTAGCTGCACGGGACCATGCAGACCAGGTTCATTTGTCAGATGACACCATGCCTACAGGTGCGGTCACAGTCCCTGACACCATCCCTGACTAGGACTATCAAAATGGACAGGGCCGACACCACTGAGCCCAGATGCCCAGCAATGTCTGCTAGCAGGCATGCAGGCAGTTTCTAATAAGGTTGTTAATTTTGATAAACTGAGAGAAGTCACTCAGGGACCTGATCCATTCTTGATCACTCCATCCTGGATCACTCCAACTACGCTGGACGGGTTGGACGTGGTGATGCTCACCACACCTACATCAGCCAAACTATTAGGCCACCCCTCTTGGTATCATGTTTTTCACCTCAAGCTTGCCCCAGATCCAAAGTCCTGGTCATCCCAATTGATGGGACCCACTAAACTCAAGATCACCTGTGAGCCTCCCACTTTTTTTCCTCTTGAGTCTGTTCCTACAGGTGCCCCCGACCTGAACAACGTTGCCTAATCCCTACTGCCAGCGTTTCCAGGTACAGGGGACCCGGGATGGTAAGACCCAGACATTAGGAACTGGTGATTGCCAACCTGCTGGTTGCCAAACAACTGTCTCCGTTCTATTAACCAGCCTCAGTCTTTCTGACCGAGTGCCCCTCCTCTGCTTTATGACCAAACCAAGCGGTACTGCAAGTTCGACCAGATATTTATGGAGGATGTCCTCACACCTCCTGCAATATGCACAAGCTCAGAAAGACCACCCAAACCCAATTCCTATAGACCTGTTCTGGAGGTAGCTCCTACCTGAACATCAGAGATCCCTGGGACAATTGCTGGGCCGAGAAGAAGAGGGTAAGCTGTACATCTAACCTGGGACAGCCAGAACTCTTTTAAGATTTTCTGCACCTATACCCCGGTGATTCCTCAGCTCCACCAAGAAATCCTCCAGAAAGAAACTGCCCTCACTTATGAGCTAGGGGCACATGAGGCAGAGAAGGAGACCCATTTTCATGGCTGGCCCTTGTACGTCACGGGTTACAACTCCTAAACTAATTCAGGGTCAATAATATTTCTGATTGTTTTCTGTGTGATGCTCTGCCCACCCTTAACGGCAGTCCCTCACCTTTCCCCTTAACATCTCCCAAGGGGATGATGCCTCTCTGCCTCTGATGGGGGTCTCCCTCTTTGACAATCCCCTGTAGTAGCAGCAAAATCTTTCCATCTGCTATGCCTCACAAACCATTCCCAGGTTCAACGTAACTAATCATGGTGTCTTCTCAAGTCCATGAGCCCCTGGGATTCAATGTAATGAGGCATTGATGAAAGTCATCAACTCCTCTACTGCCACTCCTTTACTGTCACCCTAATTCCTCAACTAACACTCTTTTTTCTTTTCTTTTCGTGGCTTCTATTTATTTATGGTTGATTTTCTTTTCTTTTTATCGTGCAAAATTTTTCATTTACATATGACAGTGGAAGGCATTACAATTCTTATTACACAGATAGAGCACAATTTTTCACCACATTCCACCATCATTTCTAACCCCATGCCCCCTCCCTTCCCCTCCCACCCCTCTGCCCTATCTAGAGTTCCTCTATTCCTCCTATGCTTGCTCTCCCTGTTCCCTGCTTCCACCCACAAGATCTAAAGGGTCAGCCTTTCTTCTAGTGATCATAGGCATTTCCATCACCTTCTCCCTGGTCCCCTCAGGCAACGGGCTGGGGCATTAGGCTATAGCTTAACCACACTAAAGAGCATGAAGAAAAATTATAGCTAGCAGTGAAGCCTCTGCCAACTCCCTGGCATCTCCCCAAAGACAAAGAACATCGCTTACACGGGTCACTCTCCAAAACAGGCGGGCCCTAGACCTGCTCACCACCAACAAAGGTGGTACCTGTCTGTTCCTCAGGGAAGAATGTTGCTATTACATGGAGGAGACCGGCCTAGCAGAAGAAAACATCCATGGGCTACCTCGGCTGAGTGAAGAACTGAGATGAAGGTGGCAGCCGAGCACCTCACTCCTCCTGGGCTGGTGGAACTCGGCCCTCGCTGCTTGGTTGGGTCTGATTGTTGGCCCCATCCTCATGATCTGTGTCTTGCTAATGATTGCTCCTTGTGGCCTCGGATTTATCCAAAAGCGCATCAGCAAAGTCTCACGGGTGGCGGTCAATTAGATGCTCCTTCACCCCTACAGCCATCTTCCCAATGAGCCCCCAACTCCTGACCTTTTCTAGACAACGCCCTCCTACCAGAATAAAAGTAGCCAGATGAGACCGGGGCACCCTATAACATCAAAGAGGTTGGGATGTCGGTGGGCAGCTTTCCCTTCCCATCCCATGGTGGCCATGGGCGGAGACTTTTCACCTGGCTGAAGAGACCTGGCCATTAAACTCAGCCCCTAAACTCCAATCGGCAAATCGCTAATGGTAGTAACAATTTAGTTGGCCTAGGCCTTCCTACCTCCAATGACTTACGTAGGTATTATTGTCGCCTGGAGCTTTCGGGACTTCCCGGGTCCTCACCCTTTCCCAAACCAGTGAACCAAAACTCTTTTTGGTGCCTTATTCTTGTTCCGTGGTCCCTGGCCTTGTGCGCCCTTTTCTGCTTTACAAGGGGGTCCTAACTTTTCCTTCCAAGAACCAAAATAAGAAGTGAAGAGTTTGTGAAAATAAAGCTTCTGGAATATTCGGTTAAAGCAATACAAAAGTATTGACTGGGGTGCGATTTTGCTGTTAGCCACAGAGATAAATGACAGATTCCAATCCATGTGCAAATGTAAGGATGGCCAACGCGGTTGTTTTCCTTGAGAACTTTAAATAGGTTATTTCCTTCTCTGTTTTATTGAGCTAACTCTTCAGCTATTCATCCTAGGAGTATTTCCTGCATCAAGTAGCTTACGTTTTATTCATCCACATTTGAGGGCACTTCTCCCTTTTAACGAGGCTACTTCAGTTAATTACTTTTCTCTTTCTTCTGTTTCATATATATAATAATCAAAGCCTACGAGGGTCCATTCTGCCTAAGAGGTTGGATTTTATTACTCTGTTTAAAAAGAGCCTCCTTCATTTAACTACTCTCCAGTACATTTTGAATTGTTCAATCACCAAGAGGCAGCAAATTTATTTCCCCTAGAAAGATATTTTTGGCTCTAGAAGAGAAATGAATTCGAAACACAATCATTTTCTCAGGAAAAAAGCAGTAAAGATTGATGTTAAACTTAAGATGTCATCCCCCATCTTATAATGGACTAAATTTTACTAAAAGCCTTTCTGAATGTTTTCTATTATATTTTTAAAAGATCAGTGTAATATTCTGAAAAGAATTAAATTTATAAATGTCAATGAGACATTAGTATTTGTAATCATTTAAGAAAATCAAACTGTACTGTCTCATTGGGAACATGCATATTTTTCAATATAATTTGAAAAATTTTAAATTCTCAGCAATTTTTTGCTTTATAGCTTGCTTACCAACCTTTTCAGAGAGTTAGTAGGCCTTTAATGAATAAATGTAGACTCAAAAGTAACTTATTTTTTATTTTTCATTATTTGGAATTGAACCCAATGTGTAATACATACTAAGCTACATTGCCAGCCTTTAAAATTTTCTTTTTTTCTTTCTTTTTTTTTTTTTTTTTAATTCTGAGGCAGTCTCATTAAGTTGCCTAGGCTGGCCTTGAACTTATGAGCCTCCTGCCTCAGCCTCCTGAGTAGCTGGAAGTACAGGTATGTACCACCATACCGACCTAAAGTTATTTTTACTTTGAGAAAAAGGGAAAACAGAAAACAAAAACAACACAGGGGCTTGAGAGTTTCTTTCACACTCTGGCTTCCACCTAAGGCTAACGGAATTTCCATTTGGCACAATGGAAGTATCTGGAAGAGACTCTGGATTCTTTCTAGAGAAAACTCTAGAGCCTGCTTAAGATCCTCTGCACTGTGTCGAAGATCCCTTCAAATTCCTGACTTCAGGATGTAGCTTTTATGACAAATCCAAAAGCTTCCATTTAGGGGAAGGAAGAAATAAAACATTACAGACAGAGTAGAGAGTTACACAGTGCTCAGTTTCCAAAGATGGCTTCTCATTGGAAAAATGGCTTGATTTCTAAAGACCCAGAGACTCCTACCTGGCCATCCTGACCGTGGAGCGCCAGAGGCCAGAGGAGCTCACTTTAGCAGGATGGACTCCACCATGGGGACCAGACCTGAGCCTGGGGACTCAGGAGTTCGGTCTCCCCAGTGTTGGCTCACAGTGGGAACTTAAAGAGAACAAGGACACAGAGGACAGCACTTACCATTTCTGGACTCTCAGCAGCCAGTTTTACCATCTTCTCTGAGATCATCTTTTTCAAGCAGCTACTCAGCAGAAAAGCCTATAAAATCCAGAAATAAAAACACTCTATTAAAGAGATTTTCATTTTCTTCCTTCCCTTCCTAGTGCCACGGAGCAGATTTTGAACTCTGCTTAAAATCCAATAGCATGTTTTCAAGAATTTAGATTTCTTCATTAACTTGCAGAAATTTGCATAAAATTGCAATTAGCAAACAAAACAAACAAACAAACAAAACTCTATAAATTCCCTCAACTATATAGATATATTTATGGTAAATTTTAAGGACAGCTAAAAATGGGCCCAATCTCATTACTAATATTTTAAAAATTCCTTTCTTACATATTTTCTATTGTTTTGCAAGCAGATCATGTTCTATGAGCATTACATTATGAAAACTACTTACTATCATAATCAAATAAACTGATGATATTTAATTGTATCCATCATTATTGAGAGACTTGTTATGAAGCATAAAGAGTAACCTGATTGAAAGAATATACAGGAACCTTATTACTTTTACTGAAATTTTTAAAGTGAGTTGTTTTTCTTCACTCTCATTTAAAAAATTTTTATCACTCATTTGCAAGGCAGGTAGCTGTCCCCTGATCATTTGTGGTTTAATCATTCTTACTGCTGAGACACTCACCACTGAGTGAGAGTTACACAGTGCTCAGTTTCCAAAGATGGCTTCTCATTGGAAAATGGCTTGACTTTTAAAGAAGAGAAGTCAAGCCATTTGTACTTCTTGCTACCCAAAGGCGGGGACTTCCTAGTTCCAGGATCTTCACCTTTCTTGTCCTGCTCTTATTTCTTGGTTTGCTGTTTCTCTTTTGCCCCCTACGAAGGTCTGAGACTACTGAAACTCATAGCTTGGGGCTCTAGGACCTCAGCACTGGGTTGTACTCAGGGATAATCATTGTGTTGGAGAGGATGATGGAGAGGAGGGAGGGGACAGAGAGAAACCCAGGCCAAGGTGGCAGCCAAAGTGGAAAGGCCTTGGAGGACAGAACACAGATGGCAGAATTAGGCAGAGATGGGTGGCATGCAGGTAACTCTGCACTGTCTCGCAGGGCTACGGAGCACAAGATTGAAATTTACTTAAGGGGAAAAGGTGGAAAAGAGGAGAAATGTGACATGCAGACACAAAGTTTGACTTGCTAACTTGGCTAAGAACTAGCCCTGTTTATCTGCACATATTCGTGATGCACACAAAGCTAGAGTATGAAATAGTCAACAATTAACTCCTGAACTGGTACAGCCAGGGGGAAATTTTAGGATGCTTCAAGATACAGACTGATTCCACTTTCCACCCCATGTGCACAAATATGTTGGCTAGGACTCTACTGTAAACCAAGTCAGGTTTATTCAACACGAAGAACTGAGCTTTTGCTAGGCAGTGGTGTACACCTGTAATCCCAGCTATTTGAAGGTGAGGCAGAAGGATCGCAAGTTCAAGGCCAGCTTTGGTAACTTAGTGAGATCCTGTCTTGTAATAAAAAATGAAAAGGGCTGAGGATTGCTGTTCAGTGGTATAGAGCTTCCCTGGCACGTGCAAAGCCCTAGGTTTGATCCCCAAATAAATCCAACTGCAAATAAATAAATAAATGAAACTAAGCTTTTGTTTAAAGAAATAAAAAAGATTTGGGCCCAAGGCTTTGTTTGTATTTACAAGGCACACAAGTCATATTCTGGCTATGGTAAAAGTACATCAATAAAACTCACACTCCCAGGAAATAAGATCTTACTAGGAATCCTTTAAAAGAATGTTTATTGCACCACTCTGTAGTGGCGAAAACTCATTTGCTACTGTTTAGATTAAAAGGCCATCATAAAATTTAACTGCACTTAGCATTCTAAAGGGGTGGATAGGGGGTTGGTTTCACTGCCAAAAATCTCTCTGTGTTTGCAAGTGACTGCAGATCTTATCTCAGCAAACCATCCTACTATTTCCCTAGGATGTTTCATATTTAAGATGAACCTAAAGGACCCATGTCTTCAACCTAGGATTGCGGTTCAGTACTCTATTTTTCAGAGGGCCTTGATGTCTGACAACTGTACTGGAAGTGGAGGGTTGGAAGAGGGCTTTGTTTACCGGAAATCAAAATGTTCTACAGAACTTAGTGGGACTCAMGTTAAACATAATGTCAATGCAAATGTTTTGCATTATTTTGATTCAATTTTAGAGATCCTGCATTTTTGAATCTAATTTGAAATAGCGTAAGTTAGTTTAGTAGCTCAGTAAAAATTTTTCAATTGGATTTGGTGTWTTAAAAATTAGCTTTTTTTGCAGGATGTGGGGATGCCCACCTATAATCCCAGCAGCTTGGGAGGCTGAGGCAGGAGGATTGCAAGTTCAAAGCCAGCCTCAACAACTTAACRAGGCCCTAAGCAACTCAGTGAGACTCCATCCCTGGGTTCCAGGCCCAGTACAAAAAAAAAAAAAAAAAAAGCCTTTTATCTGCTTAGATAAGGCCAAGGAAATGATGTAGATTCCAAATCATCTATTTTCAATATTCCTATTAAGTGAGATAATAAATTCTATATTGTCTAAGCCAGGGATCAGCAAAAAAAAAAAAAAAAAAAAAAAAAATCTAGCTCATCACCTGTTTTTGTAAATAAAGTCTTGTTAGAACCCAACCAGGCCCATTTGCTTATATATCATTTGTGGCTGCTGTTGATAGAGCTCAGTAGTTGCAATAGAGACCGTGAACCTCAGATCCTAAAATATTCCCCCATCTAGACCTTTAAAAAGTAGTTTGCTCACCCCATGGCTCAGCCAGTTAGTTGAGTCTCTGTTACTTGGGCAACTGTTAAGATTTGGATCTTAAATGTCCCCCTAAAATGCATGTGTTAAAGGCCTGGTCCCCAGCTCATGGCACTAATAGATGGTGGTGGAAACGTTAGGGGGTGGGTCCTAGTTAGAGAAAGTTAGATCATTGGAGGCACGTCCTTAAAAAATATATTGGGATCTGGGTCACGACGTTTTCCTCTTTTTGCTCCCTGACCACCATCAGGTAAATAGCTTCGCTCCACTATGTGCTCCCCACTGTGATGTTCTGCTTCACTCCAGGCCCAAAGCAATAGGGTCAAGAGACTCTGGACTACAGCCTCTGAAACCATGAGCCAGAATAAACCTTTCCTCCTTTAAGTGTATTTGTCTCAGGTATTTTGTCACAGGGAAGGAAAGCTAGCCCAATAACTAAATTCATTTCTAATTGATACGAAGGCCATAGTGATTGACAAAATTAAGCAAAACAGAACCCAAAGAAAAGGAGAGATATTACAGTCCAAAAAGAACGTGCATAGCACACTCGAGTCCCCTGCTCTTGTTGGGTTACGGTAATATGCCTTGTCCACCTCAACCAGCAGGACAGCATTCCAGCACAAAGGGTTATCATGCTCTGCCCTGAGAACTCACCTGTTTGGTGTAAATAACAAACCACTGCCAGCGACTCTCCTCGCTGTACTGAAATCTGAGCTCTAAGTTCTGATTGAGAATTCGCTGGGGTCCATCTGTATCCAGAAGAGTTCCCTAGAGACAGAGGAAAAGATAGTATTTGATTTTCAATAGAAATCTAAGTGCCTATTTTTGTGCTAGGCAAAATATCAAAATAAGATTGTCCCTACATCCAAGAAATTACTAGGAATTGAGAAGCCAGGAAGGTAAGTCACCACAGCATGATATGGTAAATGTGATCAGGGAAGTAAACGCAGCTCTAGGGAAGGAAACAGAATGGGCACCTGGCTCAGGCTAGGAGGGCAAAGAAAGGCCCCCGGGAGCGAGGGGCATCTGAGCAGAAGTAGGAGCTGTTCTAGTTTGTTGTGGTGGGTTTTTTAGTGGGGGAGGGGGGCTTTTTTTTTTTTAAGGAGAGGAAAGTGAGGGGTGAATTCTGTTTGAAGAAATACAAATGCAAATCCCCTGAGGCCCGAGGGAACCTGGCGTGTTGGAGATGCTGTGAGAGATGGTGTGTAGCACAGGCTCCAAACTCACAGTCGGCTGGGAGAGGTGAGGTAGGGCCAGATCCTAAAATCCTGGCAGGGAACATCTACAATGTTTGACTACATAGCAAAATTTGACTCTGACTCTTTCTCCTAGTAAAAGTATCTCATATTTCTTTGGGAAAAGCATCCTCCTTCCACAGTAGGCTATCAAGGTGGGATTTTCAGAGAGTGACCTATGACCCAAGTTTAGGTCAATGGGACGAATGTTCTCTGTGACCCTATTTGATTCAAAGTCAAGAGATCCAAGCAGCAGATCCTGGTTAAACTCCTGTTTCCTAGAAAGCTACTTTGGTTCTTGACTCCCTTGAGCCTCAGTTTCAGTTTTTTGAATCCGTAGGTTGCTCCACATCCTTCTAAGCCATGCGTCCCCTCCTTGGCTGGAGTCTGCTGTGTTGGTTTCTGTTGCTTGCCACTAACGAACCATAATTCTTACATGCTTTAGACGCTACGTTAAGGATTTTAGACTTTATCCTGAGACAACAGACATCAAAGGATTTTAAAAGCTGGATAATTCCACTGGATTGATATTGTAGATATATTGGTCTAACAGCACCGGTGTAAAAACATAAATTGAGCAACAGCTCTTTGCAGGCAATGAACAATACACAATTCCATGATTTCCCCCAGCTTACTCACTAGAGGAGTTTCCAAGATGTAGCAAGGAAAGGGACCCCAAACAGAGCCCAGAGGGCTCGCTGAGTTGAGAAGAAAGAGAAATTTTCGAAGCAGTTGAGGTAAGAATTCACAGGGCAGGATACCCTGAACTCCAGAGAGCTCCTCTCAACTCTTTGCCTGAGTAGTGATCTGAGCAACCCCCCCMAAAAGCAGCAGACTGAACAATTCCAGGAACTGGCAAACAGGCTGGGCAGAGTTTGTATTCCCATCAACCAAGTACAGAGGCCGTACTAGGCAAGATGCTGGGCAGAGTCCTAGGGAGGTAGCTAATGAGTAAAGGGTTAAATTAGCCCTAGACTAAAGATGATCCTGGACCTCCATTAAGTGTAACAGCAAGCCTCCAAAGAGTCAAAATAGTCTCAATGTTCTGCATTACAAAGCAAAGTCTAATATTTTTAAAGGAATACAAGAAAATCCCGCATTCAACAATGTGAAATTCACGTTTAGCATACCACAAAATACCCGGCATGCAAAACAGGTGAGAAACCAATCACTAAAAACAAACTCAGAAGTGACAGAGATGATGGAGTTAGTAGGCAAAAATATTAAAAGTTACATCCAGGTGTCCCTTAACAATGGGACTATGTTCTGAAAAATGTTCTTGTTAAGCATTTCTGTCATTGTGTAAAGATCACATAAACCTAGATAGGACAGGTCAATCACTTGATGTGACAGATATGTGGGGGAGAGAGGGATTTAACCCTGGCCTTGGGCATGCTATGCAAATGCTCTACCCACATGGATCACTCAATGTGGCCTCTTGATGCAATCAAGGAATGTATAAAGCCACTATAAGTGCAACGTGGCATGCTGTTTTATAGCAAACTTTTTCTTAGTAAGTAGAAGGACTACACTCTAATGATATAAGGTATAAGAATTAAATGAGCCAGAAACATAGTCTTTTATTATTACTACTGAGTATTATGTATTGTACATAATTGTGTCGGCTACATTTTTTATATAACCAGCAGTACAGTTGGTCACACCAATACCACCAGAGACAATGGTGGTATGGCATTATAGCAGCTACAACATCCCTAAGCAAAGGGAATTTTTCAGCTCCATTATCATCTTATAGGACACCACTGTATATGCAATCTGTCATTGTTCAAAACATCATTATGCAATGCACGACTATATTTAAAATATGCTCCACACACTGAAGAATTTATAGAAAATCATAAGCATGTTGAGGAGGAAAATGGAAGATTTTTTCAAAAAAAAGATCCAAATGGAACTTCTAGAGATGAAAAGTATAATATTAGAAGTAAAAACATACTGGACAGGATAAACAGCACATTATGACACTAGAGGAGAAAAGATCAGTGACTTGGAGACATACCAATAGTGAGTGCCCAAGATGAAGCACAAAGAGAAGAAAGACTGAAATAAAGAAAACCACAATGAGATATCACTTTGGACCCATTAGGCTGGCTATAATTTTAAACATCAGATAATGATTAGTATTGACAAGAATGTGAGAGAATTAGAACCCTCAACCACTACTGGTGGGAACTAAAATGGTACAACTAATGTGAACCACAGGCTGGCAGTTCCTCAAAGTTAAATGCAGAATTACCATTTGATCCAATAATTCCACTCCTAGGTTTATATTCAAGAGAAATGAAAACACATGCCCACCCAAAGCTTGTACACAAATGTGCATAACAGCTTAATTCATTACAGCCAAATATAGAAATGGATGATGACTAGACGAATAAAACATGGTATATCCATTCATACAGTGGAATATTATTCGGTCATAAAGGAATAGGGTACTCATACATATTATAATAAATATGAACATTGGAAACATTATGCTTAGTAAAAAACTAGTCACAGGGTGGTGACAGCTAAAGGGTATGTGGCTTCTTTTTGACACAATAAAAGTGTTCTGAAATGACCATGGTGATAGCTGTACAACTGTGAATATGCTGAATACCATCGAATTGTATATTTCATGTGGATGAATTGTATGGTACATAAATTACATCTTAGTAAGACTGTTAAAAGGAAAGAAAGCGATTGTGTTGTTCTGATGGAGGAACAGACATAAAGACCAGCGGAACAGAACAGAAAACTCAGAAGGACGCCCACACAAATGGGCCTTAGTAATTTTTGACTAGGATGCAAAAGCCATTGCATTTAGGACAGACAGGCTTGTCAACAAGCAGACGTGGAGCAATGCAACTTCCAGAGGCAAGAAAGGGAGACATCTGTCTCATACCCTATACCAAAACCAACTCAAAATTACTTATATAGAGACTTCTATGTAAAAACCTATAACTATAAAACTTTAAGAAAAGAAACAACAGAAAAAAAGCTTCATGATCTAGGGTCTGTCAAAGAGGTCTTAGGCTTGAAACCAAAAGCATAATCCATAAAAGAAAAAAAATGGATGCATTGCATTTCACCAATATGAAAAACCTTTGCTCTACCAAAGACCCTGCTATGTAGTTTTTCAAAACTACAGAGAGAGATAAAAACATTTGAAAATCAGATGGCCAGCAAAGGACTAGCATCTAGTGTCCATAAGGCATTCTCAAGCCTCGACAGTTAAAAAAGCAGATAATCTTTGACTGGCTTGTAGCCCAGTGGTAGAGCACTTGTCTAGCATGGGTGAGGCCCTGGGTTCCATCTCCAATATCACAAAAGAAAGAAAGAGAAAAGAGAATTAAACAACCCAATTAGAAAATAGACAAAAGAAATGTGAAGAAGCATTTTACTAAAGAAGATAAACAGATGGCAGATAAGCCTGCAAGACACTCAATATCATTAGCTGTGAGCAAAATGCAAATTAAAACCACAATTAGATAGCATTACTGTTTTAGTCAGCTTTCTCACTGTAACTAAAAGACCCAACCAGAACCATTATAGAGGAGGAAGTTTATTTAAGGGCTCTTGATTTCAGAGGTCTCAGTCCATATACAGCCAGTTCCATCATAGAGGAAGAGTAGGGCAGAGGGAAGCAGCTCACATGATGATCAGAAAGCACAGAAAGACATTCCACTCTCCAGATACAAAATATATACCCCGAAGTCATGCCCCCAATGAACCACTTCCTCCAGCCACCCCCTACCACTTCAGTTTCCACTCAATTAATCCTGATTAGGGGATTAATTCAGGGATTGGGTGAAGACTTTCACAACCCAATCGTTTCTCCTCTGAACCTTCTTTCATTGTCTTACTCATGAGGTTTCAGGGGACACCACATCTAAACCATAATAATTACATACCTACCAGAATGACTAAAATAAAAAAATAGTGATACCACCAATTATTGGTAAAGATGCAAAGAAACTGGATCACTCCTATTGCTGATGGGAATGTAAGACGATACAGCCGCCCTCGAAAGCAGCCTGGCAGTTTCTTAAAACCTAAACATGTGGCGCTGGGGATGTGGCTCAAGCTGTAGCACGCTCCGCTGGCATGTGTGCGGCCCGGGTTCGATCCTCAGCACCACATACAAACAAAGATGTTGTGTCCGCCGAAAACTAAAAAAATAAATATTAAAAATTCTCTCTCTCTCTCTCTCTCTCTCCATTCTCTCTTAAAAAAACAAAAAAACCTAAACATGTAATTAACAATCAACCCAGCCATTGCACTCCTGAGCATTTATTCCAGAGAAATGAAGACTTGAGCTCACATAAAAGCTGATTCATTAATATTACAACAGCTATATTCATAAGAGCTAAAAACTGAAAACAACCCTAAGTCCTTCAAAGGGATAGTTAACTGCACTTTAGTACATCCATAGCATGGACTATTGTTCAGCGATACAAAGAATATATTGTACCATCGATAAATACAACAACTTGGATGGATTTCCAAAGAATTATGCTGTGAAAAAAAAAGAAAAGCCAATCCCTAAAGGAACTGACAGGTATAGACCATTCCACCCAACAGCCAAAGACACTCTAAGTGCATAAGGAACATTTACCAAGATAGATCCAATTGGGGGCTGCAAAACAAGTTTCCCATAACTTTAAAAGAACTGAACTCATACAATGTATTTTCTTTGACTCCAAAGGAGAAAGAGTGAGGAAAGGAGAAGGGTTAGGATGCTATGCCATCCACCCATGTGGGGAATATGGAGACCCAGCTGTGAGGGTGGAGAGAAGGGACATCTTTGAGGGATGGCAAGGGAGCAGACTGAGCGGGTCTCCATCGGCGACGTCCCTGGTTGGCAGTCAGCGAGTGGGTGGTGGTGGAGGCCCCGTTTGTCAACACAGAGAACACAGGAGGCCCAAGAGCAGCACAGGGTTGAGAGCAAAGGACAAGCCTGCTTCTGGGGAAAGGCTGAGTTTGTGATGTCATTGAGACATTTGGAGAAGGTGGAAGGGGGCCACGGGAAACGCCAGGGATCTGGTAGTTGATTTCTGCAGAGAAAAAAAAAAATACTAGAAATGGAACCCCAGAAAAAATGAGCCTTTCAGCAAGGCTCAGAGGAAGTGACCCACAACAAGAGCAGAAGGAAAGGAGATTGTGAAGAGGAAGAAATGGTTGACGTGTCAAGAGCCAAAGAGAGGTCAAGGTTGAGGGAGCTAATTGCTCTAGAAGCTCCTCTTCTGCCAATTTGTCTTCTGCATAAAGATGATAATCCCAGTTAGCTCACTGAGTACTGGTTAGAAGTTAATTAAGTAGTAGATGTGGCCGAGGCCAGCACAGAACCTGGTACCAAGTAGGCACTCCATACATCTGATCAGAAAGGTTTGCATTCAAGAAGATAGCAATGTAAGCAGGCTGCCATGGCTCCTCCACAAGGGCTCTGCTGGTCAGCATCCAGTTTCTTGCCAGCACTGAGCACACAGAAAGTACTCATCACTTCTGTTATAACTTCTGTTGTCACTCTTGCCACCGATCTGTTGAAGATCGGTGCCTCTACTGCCTCTATTGCCCCAGATGGGGAATCTATTCCCACTTTAGACAGGCTGTACTTCTGAGTGATGTTTAAAGTGGTTTGGATGCCTCTGCACGAGGTACCAGAATCCAATGGCCAGTCCATCTCCCTAGCATCAACTCTGTCATCCAAGAGCAACAAGATCTTAAAATCATGGGCAAAGCCAGGTGCCAAGATACTCACAAGGAAAGTGACCTGCCAGCACTTCACCCTGCTCATCTGGAAGGTGACATCCTGGGTCTGGTTGTCAGGCAGTGTTATGCAGCAGCTGATCTCATGATTGCCCACAGAAAGAAGAGCCCTGCAGCCTGGTTCCGGGTAGTCACAGGTGCATGGGTCCAGTTGCATGCATCCGTAGTGTCGCACCTCCTGGGACAGCTCCAAAAACTGCGGAGGCACGTGGTGAGGGGGAGGATAAAGCAAAAGACCACTTGAAGCAGGTGAAAACCTCATGTGAGAACCCCCTGCCATTCTAACAGCAGGCTGGATTTGCTGTTAGAATAAGCCCTGGGGAAATTCAAGGTGTGTCCTGCAGGGGAGGGTTCATTCCTGCCTCATTCACCACTGTGTCCCCAACGTATCTCTTTTTAGTTTTTAAAACTAACCTAAGCAGGGCGTGGTGGCACACATCTATAATTCCAGCAGCTTGGGAGGCTGAGGCAGGAGAATCGCAAGTTCAAAGCCAGCCTTGGCAATTTAGCAAGGCCTTAAGTAACTCAGTGAGACCCTGACTCTTAAATTAAACACAAAAAGGATTGGGGATGTGGCTTAGTGGCTGAGCACCCTTGGATTCACTCCCCGGTACAAAAAGAAATAAAATAAAATAAAAATTAACCTGAGATCTAAATAGGAGGAAAAGTCGTCGTTTTTCAGGCTACTTTATACGACGGTGGAGAAAGAGACTGGAAATGGCAAGTTAGAGCACAAGTAGATCTCTTTCCTAAGCAAGTTGTGGACAGTGTCCAAATGCCAAGGGGTCACTTTTATGTTAATTGTAAAGTTTAGCTTTTTCATCTGCTTCTGAACTAACCTCAGAACAGAGGTTCACACCTGTGGTCCCGGCATCCTGTCCCATTGACATCTATCCAGGATTTTTAGTTTTTTAACCATGTATTATTATTAATGATTGTGTTAAAATGAGCTAACATGGGTTTGGTGACCTCCACCTTGTTTTTACAGCTGTCACCCTGGTCCTGGTCTAATGGAGTGTGAGATGTGTGTACAGAGAACAGAATTCTCAGTTTAGCACGTGGAAAATTTTAGAAAGACTACCACCCCGAGACAACCTTGCTCTTTCCCCATCCTTTCCTGAAGCAAGGGAACTTACATCTCCCTTTCAAGGACCATGTGAGGCGCTCTGTGATAAAGTGAAACATGCCAAAATGTAAGCAAAGAGGATCACCAGACTCTCGATCTCACGATGATAGCACGAGCATTTGAAGCGACTGTCTCTGCCAGTCGAGTGGAACAGCTTCGGCCCATGCTTCACCTTAAGAGATGCATTCAGCCGCCTAGCCTCTGGTTGAGTCAGTAGAAAAATCAGAAACTACAGAGTGGGAGGACATGGTACTGAGTCTTTGTCACAGAAAAAAAGAGAGAGTTGAATGTGATTTAGAGAGGCATCTGGATCACATTAAATATCACTTAGTAGTAAAACCCATCTAAAGGTTTCCGGCATTTGCTAAGATACTTTCTTACATGAAATGTGGCATAAGTCTTATCTGAAAACACTTTTTAAAATTGCAATAAACTCTTGTCTGCAATGAATTTGAAGAGATGAAAGTGTTTAATTAAAACTAAGGTTCCATTTTGGAAGGATGTTGATGATAAATAAGTAACTTACTCAACATACTTATTGGTATTTGTCATTCATAAAGGAATGCTGTGATATCACCAACTATATGAAAACCAGAAGACAGAAACCTGGAAGGATCATCTACTTGAAAACTAGTTCTTTTAAGAAGAATATACCTGAAAAAGACAATTTCATATATATAGCTGCAGAAGATATGTTTGTCTATTTCCATTTAGAGCAGGGGGCTGGCAAAGTCTTCTGTAAAGAGCCATATAGTAAATACTTCTGGCTTTAGGGACATATATAGTCTGTGAAGCATCTTATCATCTCTGCCACTGCATCCTTAGATAATAATACATAAATGAATAAGTAAGACTGGTGCCAATAAAAGTTCATATACAAAAACGGCCCATTAGCCATAGTTAGCTTATCCCGATAACTATGCTGATTCCAATCAAATGACCCTTTAAGTTAATCTCACTCATTTCCAATTCCAAGTTTTTCTGTACATGTATATAAAGCAAAGCAAAAATTGTTAATATGTTTGTTCCATTAGCAGTAGAACTCTACAAACACTTAAATAATGCTGGTTATGGATTAGCACACTTAGAGGCTGTGAGAGAAAACAAGTTCATTTCATTAATGACTCAATTTTTAAAATCTAATTTGTGTATTCAAAGTTTGTAAAAGACAATCACAAATCATATGGCATTTTTAGGTGAAATGTTTATCATAGAAGATAAAATCTGTTTTGCAGAAAAAATACAAATACACATTCGCTAGAGCACAGATACATGGTAAAAACAGTATTTTTGCTAAAATAAGAAGTTAGAGCTGGTATGCACTGCTTTGGTGTACACAACTTGTAACTGTGACCAAAGGAGCAGTACTACACATCAAAATAGAAGCTGTACTTGTCAAAATGTACAGATACACAAGAAACTGAACTCCCAGGGTTTTCTGTCTTAGCAAAGTGGAAGTGGAATACCAAGGGGGAAATGCTCAACTGGCAGTAGGTGCCTTTCCTTTTGTTTACTTTTTTCTTTTTTTGCAATCCATCCATAAATATCTCCAAGTATCTGAGACTTTGCAGAATTATTTTCTAGGTCAACCTAAATCAAATGAGTCCTCTACTTTTTGGTGGCATTTTGTTCAAACCAGTGCTGCAGTTGCAAACACAGGCAAAGTCTAAAGAATGAGAAAAAACAGCACAGTGAGGTAGAGGCCATGCCTTCTGCTAAAGCCTGCCTTGGACTCACACATACTGCTCAGGGGCAGGGGGTATGTGAGTGGGTACTGCTGTCATATAAGCTTAAAAATGGATGTTCCCATGGAATAACAGAACACACAGCTAAAGGTGGAGATGTTGGCTGCAGTATTCTCAGAGCTTCACGAAGACCTATTCCAGGTGCTGGGAACACAGAGAGTAGGTATAAATTAGATACAGTCCTGGACCTCATGGTGCTCACTGCCAAAGTGATTTATAGCAGCAAAAGCTAGAAACAACCTGACTCTARTAATAGAAATAGGCTAGCTAAATGATAACCCAACCACAAAACGAGGAATACTCTGGAGTCGTTAAAAACTATGTGGAGGATCTACATTAATTAACTTGGCAAAGAACTCATAACATACTGTCTGTATTTTTTAGAATCTTTAAGCAATAATAATCGCTTCTCGGCCTTTTGGCTAAGATCAAGTGTAGAATCTTTAAGCAATAAGCTTTTATTAATTCTATAATCAGAAAAAAATCAATGAAAGTGTTCTCTTTTTTTAAAGAGAGTCTTACTTTTAGTATTTAATGGGTTTATAAATTATTGCAACAGCTCAGTTGTAATATGAACTCCCTTCTAAGGATGTCTCTTGGTACAGTTTTTGACTCACCTTTATTTGATTGTTTTCTTTCTGGAAAGCCTCTAATTCCTGCCTCTGGGCCTGTGTGGGCTGGGCGCATTCTTCTTCAATGTCCTGTACTGCCTTCAAACAACGGAAATTGACAATTTACCGACTTTAGCAGAAATGAATTAATCTGACAAAAACATACTCATGTTTGAAGGGCTATAAAAATAGTCCCAAGCAGATCTATGTAGCTACTTAACATGACAGGAAGGTTGCTTTTTAAATTAGTGGGTAGGAAAAGATTGTACAACAGTTTGGGGATAATAGGCAACASTTGGTTAAAAAAAAAAAATACCCCCCCCCCACAAGAACCAGAAAAATAAAGGTGGGTATGTTTATCTGATCTTAAGGTAAGAACCATTTTTTTAAAGGTATACAGACAAAATGTCATAATGAAGGAGTAATCATATATAATTACACGAAAACATGAATAGCTGCACATAAACCCACCAAGAACAAAACAGAGAAGCAAGTGGTAAACCAGAGGAAATGACTGTATTGTATATGGCATGGAGTTAACATTGATGCAAAGCAACAGGAAAAATGTAAATATCCCCAACATGAAGACGAACAAAAGATATGTATTGACAATTGATCAAAAGGAATTCCAGATAACAAATATATATTCAGCCCTTCCAGCAATCAAGGAAATTTTTGCCTCTTAATTTGGCAAAGACTAAAGCACACAATCAGAATTGACAAGGGTTTGGGGAAACTGGACATTCCATATAGGACTGATGGGCTTAATTGGTAACTTTCTAAAGCTGATTTGGTGATACAAATAGAAAACTACCTGTAAGAATCATAAACACAGATTTGGGAAAAATATTTATAAAATTATTGCTGCTACTGTTTGTAATAATTTAAAAATTTTTTTAATTTATTAAAATTGGCACACACAGTGTCTCCTCTGTACTCCTGGGTTCCACATTCACTGATTAAACCAAAATGGATAGAATACATTTTGGGGAAAACTGCATCTGTGCTGAATGTTTAGACTTCATTATTTTTCTTCATTATTTTTTAGTGTTTTTCCTTCATTATTATTCCTTAAACAACACAATCTAACTATGATTTACATAGCATTTAAACTGCCTTAGGTATTATAATAATGCAATCTAGAAATTTAAGTATTTGGGAAGATGTGAGTAGATTATATGGAAATGCTACAATGTTTTATTGAGGAGACTTAAGCATTCTTAAATTTGGTATTTGTCATGGGTCCTGGAATCAATTTCCTGTGGATACTGAGGGACGTTTGTATAGTGCTCTCTATGTATCAGGCAAGGTTCTAATTTCTCTAAAACAAAAGTAATCCTTAGGGCCACTGTGCAAGGTAGGTGCTATTATGAAATACCCCCAAATAAGTAACTGATCATACATTTAAACAAATAATAGGTTATTCCCTCGTTCAAAATTATATAGAACATTTTTAAAGTGGGGAAAATTGATACATGAAAAGAAGAATATCAAGTTACAAAATAAGAGTATAATAATAGACCCTAATTTTTTATAAAACAACAAAATAAATATATATCAAAACAATCTCGTAAGAGCATTACAAATCAAGGAAGTGGATGTGCATGTAAACTAAATATATATGAAATAAACACATCAAAAAAAGTTAAGTGTTGGGAGTACATAGCTCATTTAAGGTCTTGGGTAACATTAACTTTTGTTGTACAGTTTCCTAGATTTGTAAAACTTTTAAAAGAGGAAAAAAAATTTTTTTTTGCATGCTAAAAAATTAAAATTGAATGTGTCACTGGGCCCCATTTGCTCAGTTTTGTGTCACCACCATCCACAAATGTTTTCAAACTCCAAAGCCCTAGTGGGTTTCTCAGTTGTCTCCTAATCCAAGGTGGGTTCCAGCAGAACAACTCCGGGATCAAAGGCAGAAGGTGCCTAGAAGACATCTGCCCTCTGAGGAAGCTCATCAGGATTGCTCTGAAGCCAGGTGAAAAATGGAAGCCATTGGGTTGGGATTGGGGTTCATGGGCAGAGCGCTAGTCTAGCATGTGTGAGGCACTGGGTTCGATCCTCAGCACCACATAAATATAAAAAATAAAGATATTGTGTCCACCTATAAGTAAAAAATAAATATATATATTTTTAAATGGAAGCCATAAAACCCGATGGCTGCAGCCTGCCTGTGCTGCAGGGACCTTCTGGAACACTTCCCAGCTCCCTTTCCCTTGTACCAGCCTGGCTCCAGGAGCTCTGGTATGAGGTGCACCTCCTCAGCCAAGTAGCTACTTCTGTGTCTCCTGATCAAAAAGCATTTGCCATTGTTCCTCAGTCTGTCAACCCTTCAAGGGAAGAACTGGTGTTTTTCACCTCAGTGCATCTGCCCAGGGTCCTGTATACAGCAAACACTCAACAGTTGCTCACCACTTACCAGGACTTTCTTTATGCCTTAGCCTAAACATAAGTCTGTGTGTTATGTCCTGGCTAGGTATGCCTTATCTCCAAAAGGAAAATGAAAAGCTGAATAGATTTTTTTTTTGCATTTCTGTTTATATTAAAGAGAAGAAAAATAACATTTGTTGACAGTCTACTTTAGCTAGGTTTTCTCATTGACTTTTTCCTAACTATTCTATGGGACAGGAATGATTATCACCATTTTATAGATGAATAAAATGAGATCCAGAGAGGGTATGATGTTCAAGATGACCCAGTCAATAAGTGGCAGGAGTTAGGTTAAACCCTGGCCTGACCACAACACCAAAGCCTTGTACACCCAAGATGCTGAATTCTTACAGGGTAGGCAGCTCCCTCCCCAAGGCTTTCTCTTTGTCACTAAATGTCCTCAAAAGTGAACCTGCATACTGTACCAGATTGGAGCCAGAACGATCATTTTCATGAATTTGATATGATGTTAGAGCCCCTAAGGACAGTGAACACAGGGTACAATGTCCGAGAGGAGGCATAGCTGATTAATGTAGATAAACAGCAACCACGGCAGGAAGTGTTGGCTGAAGACTTATTCAGCATYGGGATTACCCAGGATTCTCAAGCACTGAGATTTAAGTGTCCTTTAATGTAAGCAGGACAACTGGTTTTGTTTGGCTATCTTTCAAAAGAGATGGCCCTGATGATGGGTTCACAAGTCATCACTCAAATGCATCATGTACAGGACCTCACTCCCAGATGGTCAGACCATAGGGGAGTCAGGTCCAGACAAATGTCTCTACTTAGTCACATGGGGCCTGAACACTGGCTAATAGGGACTCATGCAGAACCTAATTTTAACAGTCAAGCAAAATCACAAAAGTGGTGGTTTTTAAGAGCTTCAATCACACACACTCTGCAGAAGGTACATGGTGAGAAATAGAGAGAACATGTGTGTCCATGGCTACTCCACTCTGGCTGGGTGAAATCGGTATAGGAGGACTGGGAACGTATGTGCCTGCATGTGGCCTCACAGTGCTGGGGGACGAGGGATCAGCCCACACCCCCCTCATCAAGTCACCACACTGACAAGAGGCTAGCCCCTTTGAGGGAAGGGGCACACCTTTTTCTAACTTCTTTTACTGTTTCTTTGGTCTTTTCTTTTTTGGGTGCTGGGGATCAAACCCAGAGCCTCACACATGCTGGGCAAGCACCCTGGCCTGGTGTCCGGGAACACCTGGGAACAGCCAGCAAAGCAGTAGAGAATTGAGGAGGGGGTCCCCAGGGCGCATCAGAGGCAGGATCTGCTACCATTTCCCTGCCTGGCAGAACCTTTGCCACACAAGACAGGGGAAGGGAAAGGAGAATGAACTCTAAATTTACTTTTTGCGGGGTTAGGGGGTGAAGGTAAGCAGGACCAACTACATATTTTGCAGGGCTTACAGAGCACAAAAGAAAACGCAGAGGCCCTTGTTCAAAAGTAATTAAGAATTTAAAAATGGCAACAGCAGAGCATCAGACAAGCCCAGGAGGGCCTTCTGAGCACTGGACACATATGACTGCACAGGGTATGTTCTCATAAAGCCAGCCCTAGAGCAGGTGTGCCCTCTCCTGGATCAGGGAACAGCAGGTTATGTAGAGTGAGATTTAGGGACCATGTGTGGCCTTACATTTGCAGGGTTTTCCTTTCTAGTCTCAGCTAATTAGCCTAGGTGACAGGGTCACCAGCAAATTCACAGAGTGACTATTAAAATAAAGATCGAAATAGTATTTCCCTCTTCTAAACTGCTCTACTTTTTAAATTTTAAAATTGTAATAAATATATGCAGCATAACATTTATCACCATTCATAAGTGTTCAGTGACACTGTATACATTCACAATATCATGTAACCGTTACCACTATCTATACTGAAATTATTTTCACTATCTTCCAACAAAAATTCTATACCTGTAAAATAGTAACTTTCCCTTCTCTTTTCCCCCAGTCCCTAGTCACCTCTATTGTAGTTGACTCTGCCTATTCTAGGTATGGAGATAAAAATMCTTAACTATTATATATTTTTTAATGATTCTAAACCAAGTGGCTTAAATGCACAGGATTCTCACCTGCATGTACAGCAGATCTACGGCTGCTCTGCAGTCCATCAGCACAGAGTCAAGGGCTGGATCCATGTACCTACGTAATTTAGGAGCATCACATGAATTCATATGACAGGCTAATGGCACACCTGGGAGGAAGTGCATTTGAAAGCAGTGGCCCCTTCTATCACAAAGCCACCCCCTCTGCCCCCTGCATTTGCCTAGCCTTCACTGTCTCCCTCCAGCCCTTCTGTTTCCATTTTTTTTTTTTTTTTGGAATGCTATGAGTCTTACCTGATGAGCTCTGAGAGTAAAAATGCAAAAAATAAAATAGTAAAGCTTTGGGGAAATGGTCTGCACTCCTGGTCCCACTCAGCCTCACTCTTGGCCTCCCAGTCCTGGATTCCCTTTCCCCACCCCTCAACACCTGGCATGGTCACCTGCCCCACATCTACCACCACTGCCTACCTGGCCACCCTCACTACTCACTTGAGCTGCTTAGGGAAGCTCCTTCCCAGGCTTTCTGCCTCACTCTCACGCTCCACAGTCCAACACAAGTGGCTGTTGTCTGACAGTCTGAGTTGTAGGAGTTGGGTCATTTATTCTGTTTACTTCTGAGGTCCTTTATGGGGCTACCCTTATCATTCCCATACCCAGCTCTACATTCCAAGTGAGCTTCTCTGCTCTCCTTTTACCCTGACAGAGCATGCTTCAGGGCCCTCCTGCCCTGACTTATCTCCCTTTTTCTGCAAGCTTCCCCAGGGGCCCTGCTCCCCAACACTGTGTTAGCAACCCATCTTCTGTGCTTTGTCAGCATGGAGCTTATCCTGACCACTGCTCTGATCAAGTTTTCTTGACAAGAGATGTCAAGACCCCAATCTCTGTTGAGAGGTGCCCCTCCGGGTCTTGGCAGAATAAGTGGCAAATAGCATTTCTGTCTATCAGATCCAGAATCACCAGAATAGACTGAAATTCAGGGCTGTGTATGCACAGCAGCATGCTAAGAATGGGCGGAAACAGGAAGGGCGTGCCCTTCCTGATCTACTGATCTACAGTCAACCGGAAGGCAGAGGCAAGCAGTCACTGTTCCGGGAAGCACAGTGTGACTAGATTGGCAGGGCTGACAGACTCAGAAAGGGATGAAAATAGAGATTGAGGGTCAACTTCATTTTGGGGGTGGGGAGGAGCAATTGAAGCATTCCTGCTGACATTGCATTTAGCTATTTACCATATCCCAGAGGACCCCGTGGAGCACAGAATAGTGTCTGTCACACAAGAAAGATGGAGGACCCCAAACCCATCCTAAGATGGGGCTCTTGGAGGCAGTGGGGAGTACAGAGCAGGCACCATCTGGTCTGGAAGAAACCATATCATCACTGGAAGAAGAGGCTTCATCTACTGGAATCAAGCAGCTCTTAGAACTGGCCTCCCTACCTCCACCTGGTAAAACCTCCACTGGAAAGAAGGGGAGGCTCTGCCAGACTCTCCCCAGGAGATCTCTCTGCTGAGGATCTGGAGACCTGATCCTCAGCTCCAGGAACAGAAGCAGACTCCCTTCTTTCTGGTTCCACAGTCAGATGATCTGCCTAGCCCCGCTGCTGGCTTGTGATGGGCAGGTGTTTTATCTTGCATTTACCATCTAGAATTTATTTTTTAAATGAAGACATAGGCAAAACCTGATTTCTAATTTAAGCCTCCAGGTTAGGGACAGAATCCTCCTCTTTCCTGTGATCTCAAGTGAAAAAGCTAAGCCCCAAAGACTTTTATGATTGCTATGATCATCAATATCATCAATATTACAATAAAAAATATGACCAAAACTTTTGGAGCATATATAATTACTCTACAAGAATCCTAAGAGGGCCAGGTGTGGTGGCACACACCTGTAATCCCAGTGGTTCAGGAGGCTGAGGCAGGAGGATTATGAGTTCAAAGGCAGCCTCATCAACTTAGCGAGGTGCTAAGCAACTCAGTGAGACTCTGTCTCTAAATAAAATACAAAATAGGGATCGGGGGGACAGGAGGATTAAATGAACTCTAGATAGGGCAAAGGGGAAAAGGGGAGGGAGGAGAAAGGAGGGGCACAGGAGTAGGAAAGATGGTGGAATGCAATGGTCATCATTACCCTAAGTACATATATGAAGACACGAAGGATATGACTCTACCTTTTGTATAATCGTAGATATGAAAAATTGTGCTCTATATGTGTAATATGAATTGTAATACATTCTGTTGTCATATGCAACAAATTAAAATTTTAAAAAATGGAATGGGGATGTGGCTCAGTGGTTGAGTGCCTCTGAGTTCATACCCAATACCAAAAAAAAAAAAAAGAAAAGAAAAATAAAAAATCCTAGGAAGAAAACACTATTATTCCCATATTACAGATAAAGAAACTGAGGATTAGGGGCTTAAGTAACTTGGCTAAGGTTATGAAGCTGAGAGCTGGGACTTAGGTACAGGAACTCTGATTCAGGAACCACCATGCTTAGCCACTTTGTAGTAAGCAGCTTACAAACAGTTATTCTCTAACTCTTAGATGGACTCAAGTCCTTACCTACTTCTCAGGGTTTTTTGATGATTTCTCAGAATACTTCTGAGCAATTAACTTCTATCCTTGCTGGGGATATCCTAAAATTCAAAACCATAAACTGGAGCTCTAGTAAGGCATCACAAGGTCAAGTTAACTACTATCCCCAGATTTTGAAATGCCTTTCTTTAAGGCTTCTGCACTCAGGTTGCAGAATAACGGGGCTGGGAGAAAGCAAACTTAAGTAGCAAAGGTAATAAACTCTAGAGGCTACAGATGATAGGATTGCAGATGAGTAAGTGTCCTGCTTCTCATTGTCACTGTCTGATGTTCTCCAGAAGGTCCTTGTCTCTGGGTAATAATAGGATTTTCTGCAGAGGAACACTTGCATTCTATTGATCTAGAAACATGAGTAGCCCTGGTACATACATCCCTGGCATAGCCTTTATGAATGCAAGCTGAATTCTTAAGAGTTCAAATTCACTGCAAATTGGTTGAGTTCACTTTTGCCTCCAGGGAATACTACAGTGAAATAATAGATGAATCAGACTTGCTGGGTAATTATCAACAAATCCTTCGATTAATACAGTCAGGAATCCATTCCAGAGCAAACCCATGACATCTTGCTCCCATCTACTCTGCCCCTGCTGCTGTCTCTCAAGGCTTCCTTTCTTGCTTGCCTTTCAGCAGAACGGAAGCCACAGTCCTCATTACAATATCCCGAGGATTCCCTTGAGACTGGTGAAAGTCATCCTCCACATCTTCTTTAGGACAAATATTGCAGTTCATGTCACCCTCTCTCTTCCTCATGACTTTCCTTTTAATTTCCCCAAGTTCCTGGTCTCTCTCCTAAGATGGGGCTGTGGGCAGGCCATGGTGAGACACTGACATGTTCTGATCCACAAGGGTTTCTGTCACCATAACAACTTACCACTTTCTGAGTCCAACCTTACAGTTTTCCACCTCAGCATTGCAAAGACAAACGTAAGGGAGTTCAAAGTCTGCCAACTTCTTTACAACTAGAGACGGGGAAAGAAAGGCAGGCTGGTCAAAACAGCACACAGAGGTGACACACAGAAGCTTTCAAATGAAAAAAGGAAACATTACTTTTTTGGGGAAAAATCACACTAAGAATATTCTCTTGTATGAGGATATAATTTTTTACCTTTCTGAAGTTCATCAAAAAATAAATACTATTTGATCTGCATCAAATCCCAGGTCCTTGGGTAGGATATTTACACTGTGATACAGATGGAGAAATAGATTCAGAGATGCCCAGGGCCATGGCTGGCCTTAGCTCCTAGGGCCCAGCCTCCCACATCCCTTGGCTTCCACCACCCACTGCTTCTTGAGAAAACACATAAACTAAGACTAATACCATTTCATATCTTTAAAAGCCTTGTAATATGTAGAATGAACCAGAATGGAAAGCAATAGCCATAGAAATYAGACTATTATCTCTCATTAGAACTTTTTTTAAGGAATCTAAAAGTTATTATATCATCCACATATTCCCTAACAAGGAGATGTCATACTGTATGAGATGTCCTGAAATCTGGGGTCTAGCACTCACAAGGAGGATGAGGCATGGCCCATGGCCAGAAGCCAGGACAGGCCCRGGGGTGAATGGAAGAGGACATTAGATTGGAATTGGCAGGCACAGAAAAGAATAGGTACCAGAATGACCTGAGGTCTTGCTCTTAACAATTTCTATTTCTCTGGGGCTACTCATCCCAGCTCACTCTGAACAAGAACACAATCTCTTATTCCTCATATTTTTGATCCAGAGCTGAGAACAGTGGTCCCAACACCACAACCCCTTCACTATGACTCTTGCATCTCCTGGGGTGAATCTCTGTTCACACCTACCCTCTCCATCCCCAGGCTGCCCATATTTCTTCTTACCAGAAAGCTTGCCCTCCTTGCAAAACCGAATGAGAAAGAGGCCAAAGTAGCCCACAAGTTCTTGACGCAGTCCAAACTTGTGCGACACCACCTTTAACCAGAGACAAGCAAAAGGAAGAACATCAGGGAGCCATCCACACATCCTAAATGTGATGTGAAGGACTGGAGTGACCTATACACGTTGGTTACAAGTGCTTTAGTGAGACAGTAGACATAGAAATCTTTCTGGAATCTAAAAATGACACATGCTCATTTTAGAAAAGTTAAGTGAAGAAAATAAAAGCTAGTCCCACCACAGTGCTCAGTGACTGGCTTCTGTCAAGGATGGTTGTCACTTATTGGGTGTGGACACCACATGTCCTGCCTCATTTTGGTGCCTATTGTCCCCTGGAGGGCGGCAACCATTCTCTATAAACATCTGTCTTCCGAAATATCTGCCCCTTTAAGACTGGGCTCCCTTTCCTTGAACTCCCAGTCTTTTTTCTTTTTTAATTCCCATTTATGGGGAATCATACAATGGTATGATACATATATACATTGYGTAAGGTTCAAATCGGGGTAAGTAACTCTTTTTTCTCAAACCTTTATATATTTTTTTCAAGGCAAAAGCATTTGAAATCCTTTCTTCCAGCTATTTCAATACACACTACATTATTATTATTTATAGTCACCTTGCCATSCAATAGAGTACCTAATTTTTTCCTCCCATCCAACTGTACGCTGGTACCTAGGCACCTTGGTTTTCACTTGCTGGGTCCCCTCTGCAGCCCTGGAGGATCCGCCTCCTCCGCCCTGCACACTCGGAGGCTCTAAGCTCTGCTCCAGTTCTCCAGGTGGCAGTAGGATAAATGCCAGCCTCAAAGGGATACTTTTACTGTCAGAGGTTTGTAAATTACCTCTTGAGACAGTCTGACTAGGTGCCTGGTGTGGGTGTGTGTTCTTGGCATGGCTGTAATAAATAGCGTGGGAGCGCTCTCACCCATGCTGCTCAATGCGCATGCGCTTTCCTCCACCSTTTGTGTATCACAGGTTGAACTCAGGGTGCTTAACTAACACTGAGCAATTTCCCCAGAATTAAAAAAAAAAAAAAATACTTTGTTTACACAGTGTCTCTTTAAGTTGCTTAGAGCCTCTCTAAGTTGTTGAAGCTGGCTTTGAACTAGTGATCCTCCTGCCTCTGCCTCCTGAGCCACTGGGATTACAGGCATGAGCCACCACCCGCAATTCCCCTTCCTTTTTCTCTCACTTTTCTCCTTTACAAAACATCCCAGACTGATGACTGATGAAGGGCTCCCCCATATGCATGGGTGAATGTGTGTGTGTGGTAGGAAATAGCGTCACAGGCTTCTTTTTCCTACAGTAAATCTGGCCCATGTCCTTTTGTGATCCACTTAGCAAAAGCCACAAGARGAACACAAAAGCTTTCTAGAATTGCTAGCATTTGGATCTGGAATGCTGGGTCCCTCCATCCCCGCCCAACCGCCCCAAGGCCCCTGTACTAAAGGCTTAGGTGGTAGACCTTTAAGAAATGGGACTGGAAGGCCATGGAGACATGCCTTTAAAGGGGATTGTGAGACCCTGATGTCTGTCTCTCTCCCCACCCACCTCTCCCCTGGCAATGAGGTGAGGGGCGTCTTGCTCTGCCACACACTTCTGCCAGCACATGCTGCCTCACCATAGGCACAGTGCAATTTGCTGACCAATCATGGACTGGAACCTCCAAAACTGTGAGCCTGGTTGTCCTATATTGGGTGTGGACACGTGTCTTGCCTCATGTCGGGGAGGAGGGACCTTCAAGAAATCCCCTGTCAYCCTCCACCAGGACCTGTCACCACCATCCTAAGTATGGCCTGTTCCAGACTCAGCTGGCACCACSYCTCTGTCTGTTCCCAACCCTGGTGCAACCCACAAAAAATCATTTAGCATATTTCCAGGTCATATCCTAGCTAAGTTCCAAAGAGGGGACAGCAGCCTTAGGAATTCCCTCAGAGCTCTTAGGAAAATTGACACCCACAGAGCGGCCCCGAAGGATTGGCTAATACTGAGTTTCCTTGGTCAGTTTTCCAGGAAATCATAGCAACTCCTGTAGGTAAGTCATCCACAGCATAAAAGACCAGGCAGAAAACTTCTGGAAGTTAATCATGTACCAGTCCCCTGCTTTTAAAGTAGAATTATCCCTAGATTCAGCTCTGGAGCTGGAGTTTAAACAAAACTTACTTCTAGAATTCTTTCAGCCATATCTGATGTTAGAATTTCCACTTTAATACTCCTTCCATTGGGCAGAAATATATCCAGAGCAGCTTTCTCCGTAGCAACATCAAACGTGTTCTGTAAGTGACAGGAAAACAGAGTCAGCCTCCACACTCCCTGCAGGAGGGARTGACCAGGGGCAGCTTTACCTGCTGCTCTTTAGGTAGACAGTTCCAATGAGAGAGAGCCCACTGAAGAGATTTTGGGTGGGAGTTCTTCTGGGGGACAAAATGGGGGTGATAAGGGGTGTGGAAAGGGGCCAAGACAGAGCAATAACACAAAGCTTGAAAATTTTTCAACAACAGAGCATCCATTCTGGAAGATAATTTTTTAAAATAAAATCATCCTCAGTGATCTCAAAGTTAACTCTCGCCATTTTTAATATTAAGCATCCCTAAAAGTCTATATCTCATATATTTTTCTGACATTAGCGTGTGTGGCCTTTCCTCATAGCAGCTAATTCTCTAGTTCTTGGATGCCAAACGAGTGTCCAACAACTTAATTCAGTTCTAATATGACTTAGCAGGTAAATGAGCAGATCCCACAAAGTAAAGGTTCAGTTCTACAAAACTGCCCTGCTTCAGACCAGCTGCAAATGGGGCGTTAAGTCTRCTCACATTTCTTCCCAGGTGACTACAAATTCAGGATCCTATGACTCCCTCTCAGCCTTTATAATTTTCTAGAATGACTCAAGGATTTCAGGAAAACAGTCTACCATTACCAGCTCATTTTAAAGAATACAACTCAGGAACAGCCAAACAAGACATGCAGAGCACAAGGGTCGTGGCACTTCCAGGTCTTCACCAGTCTGAAGCTCTCCAAACCCCACCATTTATAGGGTTCATAGAGGTTCCATCACTCATGCCATGTGACTGTGTGCAAACCTGGGCAAGTAACTCCCCCACTCCATACTGCATTCCTTCAGCCCTAAAATAAGAATAATTTAGTGCCCATCTTAGAGGGTTGTGGTGAGGATTCATGGAGGCAATGCAGAAACAATCTGGAACATGCAGTCTACACAGAGGAAAGCAGCCCCTGGGGTAGGAAGCAAGAAGAGGGAGCTGACCAAATTTCAAATTTCCTTGATTTTTYAATCAGATGAATACATTTCCTTTTTTTGATTTGTATCCCTATTTAACGGTAGTTTWAAAAGGACTGATGAAAATGGAAGCCATTGAGCTCTACCTTATCTACTAAGTATTTGTTGGTTGAATGTTCTTGACTTTTCAATACTTCATTTGCTTAAAGTGAGGAAGATATAAAAGGACCAGGGCAAGATGGCAAGTGAGGAGGTCAGGGGCAGGCTCAGAACAGAGGAGCATGGAGAGGATCTTCCGATGAGGTCAACTGACAGAAGTGCTTGTGGATGCAAGCTGGAGACCCAATCAGACAGACACTTCTGTTCTCATGCTCCTAAGCAGGAGAACCAATAGAAAATCTAAAATAGACATATGGACACAGGGGTGGAGGGCACCAATCAATAACAGTGAAGAGAGCATGGTCAGGGGAGGAGATAAGGAAAGAAGGAAACTCCAGAGACCATAGAAAGTACAGGCCAAAACTCCCCACTGGACTCCCAGCTCCAAGGCCCCCTTTCTTTGGAGAAGTCTGTTACTGTCACTTTTCCAAAAAACCTGCTGCTTGCTCCCTATCTCTGTGTCCTGCTCTTCAATTCTTGGCTGAGCAGAGACAATGAATCCAGCATCCCTAGATGGTAACAAAAACTTGATTAGATTGTAAACTCCTTCAGAGCAGGATCATGTGGACAGAGTACTTGTGCTAATATCAACACACACTTGAATCTTGGTACCATATTCTCAAAATAATCCAAATGAGAGATAAAAAGAAGTAGAATCGTGGCACCTAAACTGGAACATCTGGAAATGAATTGTTTCTGTGCATAACCTCCTTCTCGAGCCCAACAGAATGTGCTTACCCTGCAGGTATTTGAGAAAAGAACACCAAGGTTAAGTCTCTCCAATGTTCTCTTTCAGCACCACCACACTGGTGTTGATTGGCAGAACCTCTTCTCAGTGGATAACTGCTACATTGAAGGATGTGATGGGTTAAAGGGGCACCCAGATCTTTGCCTTGGTCAGATGAGTAAATTGGTGGACAACTGCCCTTCCCTTTCCTTCCCCCTGCTCCCTAGCACATCCCAGAGGAGGCTTCACCCAATGGCATCTGACTCACATTCTAGTCCAACCTTCTCCAATTTCCCCAAGACTCCAGCCACACTTACCTCCTTCCTGTCCCCCCTTAACCTCACTTCCCATAAGTCACAGAGAAAACATCAAGATGTGAACTTAATCTACTTCTGCTCATAGTCACAGTCCAAGCTTGGACTATATCTGTAGCTTCACCTATTCTTTGCCTGTGTCTCACATTCAGTTTTAGAGATGGCCTTCCTCTGCCTGACTCCAGGTGGTGTTAATCATCCTTCCTCAAGGACTTGAGGCTACTGACTACCCAGGCCCTCCTGCCCACTCCCCTCCTCTCCTGGTTCCTTCCCTACCAGGCAAAGTCTCATTCTAAACAACAGAAAGACAAAAGCTCTTGGTGGATCATTTCCAAGAGAGAATCTGACCCGTTTGACCCTGGAGAAAATTCTGATTTTAGCACTTCACAAGCATCAAAAGAGTTAGTCATACATTTAAGCACAAATATCTATATATCTATATCTATAATCTATCTATCTATCTATCTATCTATCTATCTATCTAATCTCTAAGTCTTTTAATGGTTCTGTTTAACTTGAAGAAAAATCAGGTTGTTCAAGAGAAAAAAAATATTGCTTGGTTCCAAAGGAAAAGTATTTTGAAAACACTAAGGATTTAATTTATTAAAATTGTGACATAACAAAGTTAGGGAGCAGGTAGGTATAGAAGAGGAGATAGAAGAAAGCTGAAGTCCCCATCCCCATAACACTCTGTGGAAAATGTTGAAAAACTGAATACAAGACAGTCTGAGATACGCAGGCACATGAAAACATAAAGTCTAAAGACTTTAGTTTTAGTTTTGCCTTTTCAAAAGTTCCTTATCTCTAAAGTGATCACAAAAATCCAGAGTTTAGTGAGTCGGGGAGGGGGGTTTAGACACACAAGACAAAGGGGATCATGTGGGGGCAGGGCTGGGTAGGTCCCTCCACTCTAGAAATATCTCCTAACATGAAAGGAGCCGAGGCTCTGGACCCAGGCTCCATGAATGTGGACCCCAGTCTTCCACTCCCCAAAGGTGGGTTCTCAACCTCAGTAACACTACCTCCTTCCACCAGTCATGAGAAACAGCATGAAGCACTGGGCCAAACCAGTGAAAGGCCCCTTAGGGGTAAAATGCCTTTAATTTTTGCATCTAGGCTTCCACCATCCCTGATGGCAGCTTTCCTGAGAAGGATTCCTAGAATGTCATGTCCATACACACTTTTAATACAGTGTGCCCTTGTCCAGAGGCAGGAAGATGCTCTCGTATTTTCTGAGCCTTGAAGGGCCAGGCCTGGATTGTGTGATTATTTGTCAATAACCACCAGGAAACTACTGGCTACTGCACTTAGCAGATGAAGGGAAAATATCCAGGTGGGGCAACTCATCCCTACTCCTTGGCAGATCCATAAATCACTGCTCATTCTGAGCCTCCCAGCCCCCGCCCCCGCCCCCCCCCCCAGCCTCCCAGCCTCGTAGGAGTTATTCTGCCATAAGCTCCACTGGCTATTTGTCTCCTGTGTTGCCTAACTCTATGCACTGCCATGGATCCTTCCAGTTCTGGAGGGCACTCAGGGGCAGGGTCTGCGGGCAGCAGGCAAGTGGGAGTAGGCTCACCTGCCACATGATGTGACCACTGCTTCCCTTTCACCCATATTGTCCTGCTTCTCCCCACACCTCCAGACACTATGTTCATTGTTTCCTTCCTCCAAGGGAAAAAATTTAAAAGCCAGAGTGTATGTGATCTTTCTGCCCACCCTGGAAACCTTCAAAGAGCAGCTAAATGTCACTTCCTTTGGAACATCACCCCAGCCAAGGTCTCACCATGTCTTCCAGACACACTCATCTTGTGGTAATGCCTCCTGGCTGTCTTTTCACCAGGTCACACTTGGAAGATGACAGCATTTGCATCTTGGAAGATGACAGCACACCGGGGTAAGTAGACATGAACTTCTGGGGGTAGCAGAGTCCATAAATACCACATCAGAGTTGATGGGACAAAAATCTTGACACATTGCTAACTGTCTCCGGCAACACAGCCCTGCACCATAGCACTCCGCGTATATCACGTGTATGGTGCTTCCCAGTGCAGGGCCTGGTACTATGGCATAGTGCCCGCTGCAGTTAATGACATGCCAAGTGACATTTCTGTCTCTCCAAGAAAACAAACTCTGTGAGCCAGACTGGGCATCATTTACTGATGTCTCACCTGCCTCTGGTGGAGGGTCAGCTCACAGCAATCGTCAACACATATATGTTGAATGTAGAGCAACAGATGATGGGATAAACCAGGTAGGTACAATGAACTTCACTTCCCTTTCAAAACCGTAATGTAAACCTCCTTTTTGGATATTTTCGAAAGTAGAACCACCTCTGCCCTGCTCTCCTTTTAGAGGCAAAGAGAAAACAATTAGAAGGAAAACTATCTTGGATTAAAAAGTTAAAATAGTTCCAGGCCTGCACCACTGGATATTGGAGGGGCTGCCAAGCACTGATAACGGAGATGGGGGTGGGGCGGGGAAAAGAGGACTCAAGAAGTAATACAGAAGCTATCTGAAAGCAGTTCATCAGAGAGGGCTCAGCAGGGCTGGGAGCACAACTCTGGGCCCCATTTGACACTGCCTAGATGCAGGGGAGAGTGAAGAAATGTGCAGAAACTCCATCTTTGCAATCTCTCAGCATGGTTAAGAAGAGAAAAAGACATTAGCTACAGTAGTGACTACCCCTTAAGCATTAACGTTGTTCCAGATGGTATTTAAGTGCYCAAAGGAGTATTAGTTCATTTAATCCTCAAAGCAACAATAAGAGAAGAACTCCTCTCCCCTTTACAGATGGAGATACTAAAATGCAAAGAGGCTAAAATTTTCTCAGACATATGACTTGAAAGTCAAGTGGCCAAAATTTGAACCTGGATCATCTCATTCCTGACCCTGAACTCTTTAACCACTACACTAGTTCAGGGGCTGCTTATCTGAGCTAACAGAAGGATTTAAAATGCTAAGCCATGATCCAGGGAGCTGTGGTTTATGCTTCATTGCTAGACGAAACACTTGGGTCTTATGGCAGAGAATTAGTGAGAAAATGTTCAGAAACAAGAGGCAAGATCCAGAAATACAACAGACAGACTCAAGAGACCCAACTCAAGTCCCTCCCTACAGCTTAGCATGCATGGGCAAACAGCTAAGGCACAAAGCACAGCCCTTCCAAAGTTGAACAATAACCTGAAAAGAATTGCTAAGGAACCCATGCAAAAATCCTGCAAGATTCTAAGAAGAAACACAATCCACTATCAGCATAAAATATATACCTGGGGGGTTGGAGTTGTAGCTTAGTGGTAGAGCACTTGCCTGGCATGTGTGAGGCCCTGGGTTCAATCCTCAGCATTGCATATAAATAAATAAATAAATAAATAAAAGATCCATTTACAACTAAAAAATATTTTTTAAAAATATGTACCACTAAGCAGGTGAACATGCATTAATAAAAATATGGCATCTCTGAATGAAGATCTTAAAGAACAGAGGAAGGCCTCAACTAAGAGGTGAGGAAGAAAAGAATTAAAAATTGAGTTGGCAAATTCATGGGGAAAGTGGAAGAGAAAAAGAAGGTCATTACAAAATTGAAAAATACTTCAGAAGAAGCAAAAAGAGATATTGCAAACTGCACCTGGGCTACTAGGCTTTTGTATAAAATTATAAAGGCAACATACTGGTGCTGGGGTTGTGGCTCACTAGTAGAGTGCTCGCTTAGCATGTGTGAGGCACTGGATTYGATCCTCAGCACCACATAAAAATGAAATAAAGATATTGTGTGTCCACCTTCAACTAAAAAATAAAGATTTTTTAAAAAATAAAATAAAGGCAACATACTAAGAGAACTAGGCACAAACCTTCCAAGTTATCAGAAAAAATATATGCAAAACAAAGCTCCGTAACATTGATACTCCATGAATGATTTTTTAATTTTTTTAAATATTTATTTTTTAGTTGTAGTTGGACACAATACCTTTATTTCACTTATTTATTTTTATGTGGTGCTGAGGATCAAACCCAGGGTCTCGCACAAGCGAGGTGAGCATTCTACCACTGAGCCACAACCCCAACCCCTCCGTGAAAAAAWTTTTTTAAAGCATTAAAAGMAAAATCCATATTGTACCCCCAAAAGAACAAGTCAAACTTATCTTTAAATGTACTGAGATAGTATGACCCTCAAKATTTCAAGTTTTAAAAAGCAAGGCCCAGTGAGTTTTCAGACAGGGTGGGTATACTCAGTGGTAGGGCACTTGCTTAGCATACATGAGGCCAGGATTCAATCCCCAGCTCCACACACATTCCCAAAAGTATACATGGCATGTGTTTATATTTTTATATGCAGAGAAATGTGTAGAAAGAACACATTGCACTGTGAATAACAATTATCCTGGAGAGTGGGGCTGGGGGAAGAAAAGGTTATTTTTCACTGTATAAATTTTATTATTATCATCACCTCTTCGACACAAACTTTTCAAAGAAAAAAGTATGTATATATTTAAACCATCAAGTGTACGTGAAAATAAGAACCACTACACCATGGAAGGTTCTAGGGCCATATTTCAGATTAAGAGGGCCAGTCAATGGAGCAACACCCTTGGAACTCTGTCTAAATAAAATCTCCTCTGGTCTTAGCAAATCTGATCAAGGTATCGTCTTTCTCTTTGCTAGGGGTCCAATTCAATGATAAATCATTATATGACTTTAATCACTTCAGAGTTCTACCATTCAGTCAAGCTCATGCTTTCAGGCACAAAAACATTTCCATATGCACAATTAGAATGAATATGTTTTAAACGAAGGGACTTCACAAAATTCCGGCCAGTGGGGACAAGCTGCCAGTGGTTCTTCAAACCATCCACCAAAAGGGAATTGCTGTATGTTACTCTGTTCAGCCTGGATTTTCTCCATTTACAATAAAGGTAAGAGCAGAGAATATAGAAGTAATAGCTGTTAAAACCTCCTGTCCTGATATCTTCACCATGACCCTCTTGGAAATCTCAGTGACTAAAACTCAGTATGAGGTCCGTTAGTGATAAAGCTGTACACTAAGGCTGTCTTCCTCAGGCCAATTTTTTTTTTTTTAACATGGGCAGTAGGGAGGCTACTGGGGATTGAACCCAGGGGTGCTTAACCACTGAGCCACATACCTAGCACTTTTTTATATTTTATTTAGAGACAGGGTCTTGCTGAGTTGCATCAGGCCTTGCTAAATTGCTGAGGTTGGCTTTGAACTCACAATCTTCCTGCCTTAGCTTCCCAAGCTGCTGTGATGTGGCACCATGCCTGGCCTCAGGCCGGTTTTGACATGGATGATATTTTACGCTACAGAAAAAAGGTATCTGCTTATATATATATATATATAATAAAAGCCAAAATTTCATTTTCCATATAGAATCTAAATCTTTGTGTTTTCATCACTGTAATCAAAATATCTGACAAAAAACAACTTAAAGGAGGAAAGATTGATTTTTTGCTCAGGTTTCAGAGATTCAGTCCATGGTTGGTCAGCTGGCTGGCTCCAAAGCAGAAATATCATGGCTGAAAGGAGAGGTGTGTGTGTGTGTGTGTGTGTGTGTGTGTGTGTGTGTGTGTGTGTGTAGAGAGAGAGAGAGAGAGAGAGAGAGAGAGAGAGAAGCCAGGGACAACATATAGTCCCCAAGGGCACACCCCCATTGACTTTTTTCCTCCAGCCATGTCCTATCTGCCTACGGTAGCCAGTCAGTAGTCCATTCAAATTATTAATCCATCAGATGGATTAATCCATTGATGAGGCTACATCCCTCGCAGTCCAATCATTTCGGCTCTGAACACTGCTGCACTAAAACATGAGCTTTTGGGGGACATTCCTGACCCAAACTATAATAACCTCCAAAATAGCAACTATCCTCCAATCTACTCAAAATGAATGTATTTCACCCAAGTMCAGGCCCTGTGGAGTTGACAGTCAAAGCACACACATGTTCTACAGATATATAATGACCTCAATAAGGAAGAGCAGGCTTACCAGCTGTACCCGTTTTAAAAATTCAATGAAGACATCACTTCTCAACATGTTTGGGTCTGCAGTTACTGAAAAACACGAACAGTGAGCTGGGTTAGCACAGGCTAGGCTAAGCCTTGACTATACCTAATTGATCTCTCCTCCAGGGGACCCTCCGGACCTTGCCAGCACAAAGTAACCTCCCTGAAGATGATGGAGATTGTGACCTCTCAAATGCAGAAAAATCCTCAAAGCTTGCCTCCTCCAGGCAACCTTGACAACAACATGAACCCACCATGCCATGCCAGGGTGACAATGTTCCCAGGAACCTCACTTCATTCATGCATGCCTGTGCTGCTCAATATCCACCTTGTTGWCCTACTGGGATGATGATAAAGTCAACATGAAGAAGYAGGGCTGGGGCKGCAGCTCAGTGGTAGAGCAYTTGTTTCCATGTRTGAGGCCTTGGGTTCAATTCCCGGCAACACAAGAAAGAAATTTTTGTTTAAATMAAGAAACAAAAAGATTTTAAAAGTTGGATCTAGGTATCTCATTYAGTGAGAAGCATGGTAATTTGAAAATTTTAAATCAACCAGTAAGTGTCAAGAGAAAGTATCTCTTTGAATGATGGGAGCTCTCAAGAGGCTACTTAAGAAGCAAYAAGACAGATTTGAAGTGCTTCTTTGTATTCTTACAAAAACCACTGCTCCCAACCACCTCCTGCCATCCCTTTGTTTTAAAGCTCTGTACAGCAATTGCCAGGTGTTGTGACAAGAGGGACAGAGTAGACGCCCTTTTGAGAGCTGCAGAGGCCTGGCACTGCCACCCTGCTTCCTCCTGGCTTGTCTCCCTCCCCCAGATCCTCTCCTGGGCCCTGCACTTGAGCCAAACTTATGTATTTACTAAACTGCTCTTCAACTTCTTTCTTTCTTCTGTTCATTTTGTTGCTGCTTYTCTGATCTCATCAAAGAGAGTCTACCAACATTCAAAACTAGCACTGACTTCATTATGGATGCACCTTCCCAAATGATGTCATGTTTAAGAGAGAGACTTGGTCACATGAGAAATTTTTTATAAGACTCATTCCCTCTGTTTTGAGAGGTAGTTTGGAGACTGGGCAAGGGACGCTTGTCTCATTTTCTGGAATAAAAAGAGTGCAAACTATATTCCTTAGTATGGATCTTAAGGATAGAGAAAGCTATTGTAAAAAGTATTTATCCAACTGGTATTTACCGTATGAGTGTTAAGTTCCAGGTGCTGGGCTAAGTACTGCACATTTTAGCTCATTTAAACTATATGAAGGGGCTGGGATTGTGGCTCAATGGCGGGAGTGCTTGCCTTGCATGCATGAGGCACTGGGTTCGATCCTGAGCATCACATAAAAATGAATAAACAAAATAAAGATATTGCATCCATCTATAACTAGAAAAATAGTTTTAAAATTTTTATAAAATAAACTCATGAGGAACCATAAGGCAACCATTATCACCATTTCATAGCTAAAAACACTGAGATTCAGAGGAAGTAAGTATCTTGCTCAAGGTCATACGTATGTCAGTGAGAAGCAAAACCGGGATTTGACTCTGGGGTTGATTCTAGAGCCCAAGCTCTCAGTTATGACACTYGGCTGTGCTGTCCCCTTACTTGACCTTGTCAGAGGATGCACAAGACATCCTGATGATGTGAGGGAAGACCAGGCCTGGAACAGTGGCCCCTGARGCACTGTGTGCACTTGTGAAAAGGCCAGTATTATTAAAGGTGTATTTTGCTAAGACTTGAGAAAACAAACCAAGAGAAAATGAAGAGTCAAAAGAGATACATTTTGAGCTTGAAAAGTCTTATTCAACAGGTCTAAAAGGAAGCACAGGTTTCATTACACACACACATAAAAAAAAATCCTGGGAAGTAGATGGTTTCTAGAATTTTGACTATGTTAAAGAAAAATRTGTAGTCATGAGCGGGGCATGGTGGTGCACATGAGTAATGCCAGATGCTCAGAAGCCTGAGGCAGGAGGATGACATATTCCATGTCAGCCTCAGCAGCTTAGCAAGGCCCTAAGCAATTTAGTGAGACTTTGTCTCAAAAAGACTGCAGGTGTGACTCAGTGGTAAGGGACTCCCGGTTCACCCCAGTACTCACCCCCTAAAAAATGTAATCATGAAAATAATGAGGTAAATCTATAATTGCTCATGTAGTCTGATCTCTAAGATATATATTTTAAAAGGAAAAATTCAACATACAGAAGAAAAAACTTTTTTTCTTTAACTATGAAGGACATCAGTATGGTAGTTGTTAAAGTTTAAATAAGGTTTCTAGATAACATGACTGTATTTGTGTTGATTTTCTGATTTGGATAACTATATTACAGTTATATAAGACAGTGTCCTTGATCTTAGGAAAGACACACAGAAGTATAAAAGATAAAATGACTTAGGTGTGTAACACTCAACCCTTAAAAAAACACATACATACATCCATAACACACACATACACATACACAGATGGGAAAGAGAATAATAAAGCAAATGTAAAATGTTAATTGGGAAATCTAGGTGAATATACGGAAATTTTTTTTTGTATTATTTTTTGCACTTTTTCTGTAAGTTACAGTTTCAGAGCAAAATGTTATAAAGAATCAGGGACAGAAAAGTGTGTATAGTAAACTTCAACTTATGTTGAACAAGAAGAAATGGACATATGTTCCAGTGTACACATGGATTGCTTCCAAGGAATACAGGAATCACTGGTAATATTGTTTGCCTCTGGAGGCCTGGGGTGGGAGGGAGATTTACCTTTCATTGCATATTCYTTTGCATAGTCTCTATTTTTTAAAATATTATGTGTATAGACTGATTCCTAATTTTAAAATCTTTAAATATTTTAATGCTAATTTTTCTCTATACCCTGAACTCCCTCTTTTGTATAAGAGCTTCATCTTGTCAATCACAGTCTTGCAGGCACAGTATTTGCAGGACCCAGGTACCAGGTAACACCGTGGTACTGTCGGCCTCACAGAGGCCAGCTCAGGTCTCTGAGCATCCTTGTGCCTTCACACAGCCTCTTCCAAGGTGGAAGTGCAATCTCTGACACTGTTGTTAATAAACATCTCTGATACCTCCCTATATCTTTCCTGTGCACAGTTCAGCTCACCCCTTGTTCCATCCTAATCCAGGTCACATTTGTTTGATTTCTACAAAGTCAACATATGGCACCTAAGGGTGAATTTGAACATAAAGAATATTTAAAACTCAATACAAAGATCACATATCATATGATTATATATATATATATATATATATATGAAATGTATATAAAATGACCATAATAAGCAAATCTCTAGAAATCCAAATTAGAATATTGGTTGCCAGGGCTGGTGGAAGAAGGCTAAAATAGGGGTGACTGCTAATAGGCCCAAGGTTTCTTTTGGGGATACGCCGCAACATTTTGAAAGTAGATTCTGGTGATGGTTGCACAATTATATTAATATGTTAAACCCCACAGAATTATATACTTTAAATGGATGAATTTTGTATTATGCAACTTATTTCTSAAATCTGTAATAGAATCCCAAATACATACCATTTTGCAAATATYGTTCCAGCTGGTCCCTCCTCTCCTCAGCCATAGATGGGGTCATTGCCAGATAGTACTTTGGTGGAAAAGGTGGTAGGCAATTTCCAAAGACCCGCCTCAGCTGAAAGATTCAGAAAACATAGTTAAGACAAGTGAGACTCGAATTCAAGGCTGATGAGATACTGAAGCCTCAATGGGGTGTKGTGGTGCACAACTGAAACTCCAACTACTTGGAGTGGGGAGAGTTGAGGCAGGAAGAYCTCAAGTTAGAGGTCAGTCTCAGCAACTTAGTGAGATTCTGTCTCAAAATAAAGAATATATAGGGTGAAACTACAGCTCAAATATAAACACCCTAGGTTGAATTCCCAGTGCCAGGGAATGTAGGGGTGGGAGGATACCAAAGCCTCCCCTTAGAGCAAAGCCCAGTACTTTACTTAAAATTCACCCTTCTTGGTGGCCAAAAGGAGGAAAATAGGATAATTTTATTTTCTTAAAGATGAATATAGTGGGCTGGGGTTGTGGCTCAGCAGTAGAGCACTTGCCTAGCGTGTGTGAGGCCCTGGGTTCAATCCTCAACACCACATAAAAATAAATAAATAAAACAAAGGTATTATGTCCAACTACAACTAAAAAATAAATATTTTTTAAAAAGGTGAATACATTTCAGCATAAGCTCTTAAGATGCTATTATACATACGTCACACAATGTTAACGTCACACAATGTCAACTCCAGTCTAATTTTGGTAGAGTTGGGGCATATTTTCTATTTGTTTATAAGACTGCCAACAACTCTATATGAGACAAAATTTTCTTAATTCATTTTATACTAATTATGTGAYTTTTTGCGATTACAGTTACTCCTAACCCCATCTGTATCATATCTGAACTTGACAGATAGTTTAGAGTTGTGCTAATGCAAAAAGCTACTAATAATGGTAGCTATGAACACTTGAAATGTGTCTAGTCTAAACTCAAGTACTATAAGGGGAAAACACACTTCAGATTTCAAAAACTTAGTTTGAAGAAAAAAGAATGTTAAATATTTCATTGATAACTTTTTTTTTTGGTACTGGGTATTGAACCCAGAGGCGCTTAACCACTGAGCCACATCTCCAGCCATTTTTTATATTTTACTTAGAGACAGGGTCTCACTGAGTTGCTTAGGACTTTGCTAAGTTCCTGAGGCTGACCTCAAACTCACAATCCTCCTGCCTCAGCCTCCTGAGCCACTGGAATTATAGGCATGCACCACCATACCCAGTGGCTCACTGATAACTTTTTATATTGACTACACATTTGAACTGATAATACTATGGATATATTAAATTAATCTATAATCTAAATTAATTCCAGGGCTGGGGATGTGGCTCAAGCGGTAGCGCGCTSGCCTGGCATGCGTGCGGCCCGGGTTCGATCCTCAGCACCACATACCAACAAAGATGTTGTGTCCACCGAGAACTAAAAAATAAATATTAAAAATTCTCTCTCTCTCTCTCTCTCTCTCTCTCTCTCTCTTAAAAAAAAATTAATTAATTAATTAATTAATTAATTCCACCTGTTTCTTTTACTCTTTTTGATGTAGTTACCAGAAAGTTTTAAATTACATACATGGTGCATATATTTCTATAGGATAGTGCTGGTTACAGAATTCCTATAAAGCTGACATATAATCCTAATAGAAGCCCAGCAGGCCCTTCCCTCCCATCCACCTATAAATGACCCAAGACCACAGTGGTAATTTTTTTAATAGAATATTCATAAAAATAATTTTAAAATTAAGAACAATAGTTTCAGTGCTAAACTTGCAATGACAGCTCAACGACAAGGCAATATCAAAAAAAGAGACTGGACCAGAACTTCATCAGGTTTTATGGCATTTCTTGAGCAGAAGGGCTGAAAACAATTACCATTACGTACTATTACAGTAGTCTGTGGTTTCAAGAAAGCATAAGGCAGATCTAAGGGAAATAGAACTGCAAATAGGMAAAATTCAAATTTTAATTTAATTGTGATTGCTTTTGCCATAATTAGTAGTGTGTATCTGGCAAACATTTTCCTTGCATAGACTCTAACTTCAAAATACATCAAGAATCTGACCACTACCTTCTTCTCGCCATCCCTAATACCATTATACTGATCCAAGCTTTGCCATCTGTTTTCTAGATTACTGCAGTAGCCTTCCAAAGAGTCTCTCTGCTTCTTCATTTGATCCCCTTCAATCTATTCTAACACAGAATCTAAGGTGATACTTTAAAACTGTAAGTCAAATCATTGCACTGCCCTGCTCAAATCCTCTTTGGCTTCCCATTTCACTCAAGGAAAAGTCAAAATCTTTATAACCTAGAACTATGTCATCCAATATGGTGGCCATTCACCACCTGTGAGTAAATGTAAACTTAATTGAAATAAAATAAAGAATACAAATTCAGTTTCACAGTCATACTAGCCACATTTCAAGTGTTGCCTAGCTGCCTGAAACATGGCAAGTTGTTATTGAATTGGATAAAGCAGATAGAGATCATTTTCAACAGCACAGAAAGTTCTATTGGACAGTGTTGGTCTAACATCTTGAAAGATGGACTGCCAGTCTTTGGGCAAAATATAGCTCCCTGATGCATTTCATTTGGCTGATCAATTTTTAGAGAATTTTAACTTAATACCAATATTTATTTTTAAGATTTTAAAATTAAAAAACTTATATCCTGGAGAGAATGCAAAATATTTTAGCCACTTTGGAAAACAGTTTGACAATGTTTTACAAAGCTAAACATAGTCCTCCATATAATCCACTGATTACACCCCTAAGTATTTATTTGAAAACTATGTCCACATAAAAAACTTGCATGTGAACATTTATAGCAGCTTTATTAATAGCTCTCCAAACTGAAATCAGTAAAGATGTCCTTCAAATGAATAGATTTAAAAATTGAGAAATATCCATATAATAGAATATTATTCTTCAATAAAAGGAAATGAATTATGGAACCACAAAAAGACATGGATGCATCTTAAATGCATATTGCCAAGTGGAAATTAGGCAGTCTGAAAAAGCTACATACTATATGATTTCAATTATATGGCATTCTGGAAAAGGAAAAGGCAAGACTASAGAGACCATTAAAAAAACAATAGTAACCAGGGGCTTGGGGCTTGGGGCTTGGGGTGAAGGGGTACTGAATAGGTAAAGCACATGGGATTTTTTTCTTTTTTTAAAGTAATTTATTAGCATATATAATGTGATCACATGGAGGGGCTCAGATGATACTGAGAGGACTGTGTGTGCAGCACATAGATTTTTTTTTAGGGAAGTAAATTTATTCTGTATGATACTATAACTGTGGACATGACAGTATACATTTGTTAAAACCCACTGAACCTTACAATGCAAGCTTAACAAAGCAAATATTTTTAATAATCATTTAGGAAGTGGAAGAATCCCAGGATGGTATACAGGGTGTGCCAAAACAAGCTAATTATATTATCAATGTATAAAACCACAGGAATGAGGGCTGAAAAGGACTGACCTAAAGAACTTTGGAATTGAGTAAAGTCTGTAGAACCCAATGGCATGGCAACTAGCTGGACATAAACACTTGAGTTGATAAAAGTTGTTTCCCACAGGAGTATGAGTTAACAATTCTAATACTGCTCTATGTGTATACACAGCCAACAAGTTAGTAAATGACAGCAGATAGTGGGAGTCAGGTTTCTCACTGTTATTATGGGAATTCGCAGATAAGACCAGGAGGCAAGAATGACCAGGAATAAGATATCAGAGTTAGATGAACTGTCATGGGCTCACTTTTAGCTTAGCATAGATACAGATGGATACAGATGGAAATACTTACAGGTAAGTCCATGTACATTGGTTATTGTACACACATTCACTTCCTTGCTGCAGGGGAGAGGGCCTAGAAGCAGCAACCCTTCAGCAGCACTGAACACAGCTAGCACCTAGACCTTGGTTTCTAATGCCGTTCTTCAACAAAAGCAACCAAGGATCCATGGAAAAGGGCTGATTCCAGGACTGAGATAGGCATAAACAAGATGATCCCAAGTATCTTGTAACCCCAGGAAGTAAGGAAGTACTCAAAACAAAATCAACCCTGGGAGCATATCAAAGACACTCAGGAGCAAACTCAAAGAGCTCCCAAGGGCCAAAGTTGGGATAATTTGATCCAAAAAATAAAGTAGTATTGATATTGAGCCCAAAGTATAAAGTGAATATCCATCATTCTATACAGATAAAAATTATTGAATGAACAAATAGGAGAAAACAGACAAATCTGTGCAGAAGAATTTCTGAGACTCATTGCTCAAGGAGGGGAACATAAAGCCTGCTCTCAGTGTGGGTTGTGCATAGTGACTTCCTTCCAAAGAGTACACCAGGAAAGGGAGAGAAAATTACAGTGGAGAAATCAGGTGATGGGTAATGACAACAGTGATTAAGACATGTGGACAGTAGGTACCAGGACAGGATGTGCTTAGAAAGGTGCTTTACCCAGTTCAATTCACAATAGCTGAACTATGGAACCAGCCTAGGTGCCCTTCAACAGATGAATGGATAAAGAAAATGTGGTACATATACACAATGGAATACTATTCACCCATAAAAAAGAAGGAAATTATGGCATTTGCTAGTAAATGGATGAAACTAGAGACTATCATGCTTAGTGAAATAAACCAATCCTTCAAAACCGAAGGCCCAATGTTCTCTCTAATATGCTAATGCTGATTCACAATGGGCTGGGGGAGTTTACTGGATTGGACAAAGGAGAATGAAAAGAAGGGAGGGGGAATGGGAATGAGAAAGACTGTAGAATAAATCAGACTCTACTTTCCTATGTTCATATATGAATATGCGACCAGTATAACTGCACATCATGTACAACCTCAAAATTGAGAAGTTATACTCCATTATGTATGATATGTCAAAATACATTCTACTGTCATGTATTAGAAAAGAAAAGAAAGGTGCTTTACCTCTGAGGTCTTCATCCCTTCCAAAACTTATAACCTTATTTTCATTGTGTGAAAAACATAAGATTCCAATAAAGGGGCATCTCATAAAATATGTGACCAGTACTTTTCAAAACTGTCATATTGTTAAAAAGCAAGAA